AGAATTGGAAAATGGCAATTTCTAGTTTATTTTCTATAATCAACAGGAAAATCTCCCTCTCTCTAAAAAGAGAAAAAAAGGAAAAGCTCCCTTATTTTTAAAGATAAACATTGTTCACAAAAAGCTTACTCAAATTATCTAAGTCAATACCTGAAGATTAGTGCTTAGGCAACAAAGCACAGCATGATGAAAGGAGCATTTTGTTGACACAGCACCAGGGCCCTTATTAGCTGAGGATTGCCAGTGTTTTAACGTGGAAAGGCCAGTATCCCACCACACGCAACAAATCACTGGTGCTTGTCAGATGCAGCTGCCAAGAAACCTTTCTTGCTTTGGAAAAGAACAGACTAGTCCGGCATGATTTCAGCTGCACAACTGAGATCTTCAAAGAGTGCTGATGCTGTCAGAGATAAGCCCCGGGCATTAAGGAACTAGGGGGAATAGGGTTAGCCCAAAGGACACTGGTGTAACCTGCCATGGAATACACTCAGAAATTTTAGTTTCTATTTTTCATCAAAAAATGCCAGTCCCCACATGTCACTTGATGACTCGTCTAACAAATCTCTTCCTGGATCCCACTAGCTCACTTCATCTAGCTCTTTGGCCAGCCATCAGTGTCAATCATCCTAAACTACCCTGACATGTAGCCTAACCTAGGGCTAGAGGCTTCAGGCTTTCAGTCTTGCTGGCTTCCAGGGATGATAAGTACTCATCCTAGGAAAACCAGCTTCCACAGCAATCTGCAGGCAAGTGTTAAGCTCTGACACCCCTGTACCTGTTGAGCCGAAGTGAAAATACATCACATTTACTTCCCAAGCTGGACTACATATTTTCAGACTAATTTGTAAAATACCCCTACAGAATTATTCAGTCAACATGTCTCACCTACTCAATAATTTTTTGTCTGTGTATGCATGAAACAACTGAGAGCAAGCTACTGAAACACCCTCAACACTCCTCTGTCCAATACTCAGGTCCTCCTGCAAAATATCCCTTCCCTTGCCCTTCTCACGTCCTGTAGCCACCATCCCCAGGCCTCACCAGGCTGGCTACCTCTGAAGCTGCTGCCCATTAAGAGGGAGAGAACCAGCTCCGTGCCTCTTTGAGAAGTCCCAGCAAAAGACAAGGCACCTGATCTTCCCTTCCCTTGCCTGTAGGACAAAGTGGGGACTTGGACCTAGCAAGCCAATTAATCATGAGGATAGAAACAGAAATGCCCGACTACTGGAGACCTTCATCCCCTCTGCCTGCCAGGAAGGCAACCAAAGGGTACAGGAGTGACAAGGAAGAGACAGGGGTTATCTCGGGAACATCACATTCACACAGAGATGGTGCACTTACACACGCCTCATTTCCTAAAGACACTGGGCTAAAACTCATAAAACATGCAGAACTCTTCCATAATAGGAGTGCTAGTTTCAGCTAAGTTTTTTGAGACATTTAAATCAATCTGTATTTAATTCACATTTTTCCCAAGGAAAAAACCTCTTTTCTTTTCCTTTGCTGCCTGCCTGCAGAACTAATCAAGAAAGAACAGATTTTAAACATTACATGCTGTACATTTTGAAAGGGAAAAAACAAAGCAACGTAACCCTGTTCCAAATTTAGACTGTTGATCAGAGGAAAATCCACTCATCTCAGAAAACAACAAAAGATATAGCAAGCTGTAAAATTTTTTAAGGTGAAGCAGGAATTCACCAATCTCTTTTTCTTAACCATCATCAAAGACCAAACACATGCACTGGAAAGAATTTCAAACCTGAAAATACTCGGATTATGTGATACTAAATAAATTCTTACATCAAAGGAAAAAACAAGGTAAAAGAATTCTTTAAAGCTGCATTATTATAGCCTATAATTCCACAGCAAGGCAGGAACTTTGTCACTGGTTCTAGCAAGCCAATGCACTAACAGAATAATTAATGGTTCATCATTCTCTACAGTTAAGATTACTGCAGTCTACTGACTGACTAACTTCACCAAGGCCCATTAGGTAGAAAACACCATGCCAAATCCTATAGATTCAAAAAAAAAATCCTTCTTTCTTCCTATCCTCTGTATGGCTGGAATCACACTAGTAGGCTACAGCTGCTCAGCTCCCCAAGAAACCAGGAAGGTAAGAAATACTGCAGATGTCCTTATATATGTGTGTATGTGTGTATATATATATATATATATATATATATATATACACATACATACATACCTTTCTAGACACAGCAGGACTACAAGACATGGGATAGTCTGCCTAATTATTTAAAAGAAAATTTGTTCACCTCAGCAAAACTACATTTCAGGTTGTCTCAGTGCCTGGAACAGAACAAGGACTTCAGCCTCATCCCTACATAACACGGTCAAACCTTTTGAGCAGTCTTGCTCACTGTAACACATTTGACACTAGGAAATCAATTTCCTGAGATGGGACTACTGGATTTATATTCCTGTTGGCAAAAAAAAAAAACTCCACAATTCATTTTTTCTCATGTTTTGACAGATGTACATGTTATCTAAGCACAGAATTAGACAAATTATCTGGAGTAAATGAGAGTTTGAAATCACAGTGCCCTAAATCCTACAGACAGCAGGATCTTACTAATCTTGTCATGCTGCAAGATACTAGAAAACATAGGGAAACTTATAAAGAGTCAAGTAAACTGTTTTTGTAAAATGGCTTATTAAACTAATTCTTAATGCAAAACATTAAAAATGGCAAGCTACAAGCAGTTGTATGAACTGTTGTTATTCCTGCAGGGCAAAGGTGTCTTTCATAACACATTAAATCACAATATACAGAAATATTTTTAAGTGTATTCACTTAGCTTCCAGGTTTTCCCCCAGTTCCTAGTTAGAATGCTATAAGGTTTTGGTTTATTTCACTTACCTACTGTATTTGCCACTCAACATTATCTGATCAAAGATCATTTTTGGACTTCTCCAACCAATATCGTTGCTCCACCAGAGAAAAACTAACGATTCACAAAGAAATAGAAGTCAGCAACTGCCCTCTGACAAAATACCAGAATTATTTTAAAAATCTGAAATTGAGTTTGGAGAAACACCATGCCTTTGGTAAGGTTTTACTAACAATCTGAAAACTCACATTCCATGGAGTGTAAGAAGTTATTCATGAATCTCATTTTTAGTAAAATTTTAATAAAAGTGATGCTTTTCACATTCTGAAGAGCTAAAAATACAGAAACTTATTTACATTTTGTAACAACAAAAAATGTACAAATTGCTATACAAAATGCATTACCATCTCATGAAAAAGAAGTTTTTGAAAGTTCTAGGAGTTAGGACATTACTAAGTCTGTATTTTCTGAAGAGATACCACTTTAAAGACTAAGTATCCGTAACTGAACAGTGATTTTCTTCAGATTAATAAAAAATGCTTTCATGACAATTATGACTGTCATTACTTTTAATTTTGGCTGATACAAATATAACCTCATAATAAAAGCTGCTGAATTTATAACAAGTCAAAGCCAATATATACTCTTTCCCTTGAGCTTTTTGCCACAGAAATTTTCAATATGAGAAAAGTATAGAAACTTCTTTTTAAGGAAATAAGCCTGGCAAGAAGAATGTTAGCTACCCTTTTATAAACCCCTATATTTGTACACAATTGGACAATGCAGATGTTTACAGTTATTTCAAAATTACACATATGGCAATCACTGTGTGCTATCTGATACACGTGGAAATAATTCAGCACAGGCTGAACACACAGAATGGCAAGTTTCAAGTCACATTTCTAGTTGGAACACGTAAGCACATTCTGATACACAAAAGAAAATCTGACACACTTTTATTTTAGAAAAATATGGGACATCATATTGTACAGATGAAAAACGTTAACAGATCAGCTCAGTCAGACCCTGAACTACTGCTTAAATCACTGGAAATAGTCACATCTGTGCGTTTGGGTGCTCGAGTCGTAAAAAGATGCTGATTCACAAACTGAGTATGGATGAATAGGATTCTATCAGCACTTCAGACTGGGTGATCACTGCAGCACCTGGAGTATAACTTAAATCATATATTGGGTGTAATTCTGATAAAATGCATTTTATTTAAGTCTAATGCAAGCCCCTACATTATACCATGACCTTCAAAAGCTGATAGCTATTTACTGATTTGAAAGCCACCCAAAGACATCAGTCCACAAAGTATTCTGACATCAATGTACCTACAGTGTACTGGAAAGTGATTGAAAAATGCTTTGATTTGAATGCTGACAGCTTTTACCAAATGCTCCAGGATCATTCAGTTACTGTTAAATGGCAACTGTGTGAAATTCTATTTCTAACTGAAAGGGGAAAAACCCCACAACAATCAGTTCAAAGTAATATACAGAAAAACTACTGAAGTGCCTAAACTGTTCTAATATTCATTTGAACCCACGACTCTGAAAAGGTGAAGTATCCTGTTCTGAAACATGTATGGTCCATGGATCTCATGTGAAATCCTTTGTTACTTTCACCCATGAGTGTACTGTATGATTAGTAGAAAATCTTTAGCACACACAAAAAAAATGAAAGATGAAACTTGCAGCAAGAGAGCATGGCAAACCTGAGAGATCTATTAGTGCATAAATCTGCTTAAAAACTAAAAAGATAGAAAGAGAGAGCTAACAAACTACAATAAAGGTTATGTCTTTAAAGCAGTAAGTTATAACAGGGTGGGAAATGTTTAATTTGCACATATAACTGCAAAGGGGTCACTATCTGAAAATAAAGAGTTGGTATTTTTCACAGTATCAGATTTATGGTAAAAAGCCATAAATAGTAGTTTTTATATTATGCTTTTCCCACCCTGGCAGAGAATAACATGAATTTAGAAGCACAGTAGAAGTGAAAAACAAAGAAGAGAAGAGATAGAAAGCAGCAGAGAAAGACAGAAAAGGTGAATACAGAGCTACAGAAGTGTTTATTGAGCATGCTACAGAGGTAAGCAGAGTACACACAAAATGAAATTAAACAACCATCAAACCTCCCAACTTTGTTAGAAAATTAATTTTTAATTGTGCCACTTCCAAACTATACTGAATTTTACAATTCTAAAGATGTAAAAACTCAACTAATAGAAAATATACATGACCTTTTTTTTCTACATAGATAACAGAATCTATGAATCTTGAAACTAAGTACATCAATTTCAAAAAGTATTGGTCATTTAAACAGAATCAAGGTAACAGTTCAGACTGTCAGTGAACTGCTTTCAAATTAACTGGATCTGCAGATTCTGAGCCATGTTTATAGTAAAGTCAGATCAATTTCTAAATACAAAATATTTTGAAGAGATTTATTAAAACTGAATATTACAATGCAAGGTAAATTAAGACTAAAGGCACATTAACTTTGGTCCCACCTGGTTGTCAGTTTTAGAAAACTGCCACAAAATTTCCTGCAAGCATTTGCAGCAAACTTTCTTCATCATTGAAAAATACATGCACCATTTCCTGAACTAGCTTGACCAGTCTGTACATGCTCAGAAATCCACAACCATATTCCATATCTTAATTACAAACTAAAGATGGCAATATATATTGAAATGCACGTAAGTCATGTCAACTTCAAAAACATCTACGAAAAATATTCAGCCACAAACAAGACATTACTTAGTGCTGACATTTATATGATACATCCCACAAGAGTGTGTACAAAAAGGTTAAGATTCCACAATGCTTTTCACGTAGGGCTCAAAGTCACAGAAGTCACTTTTTGTCCTTTAAGAAATTAATATTCTGTACCTTGTTAATTTTAACTAATGCCTACATTCATAACTGAATCTAGACCAGAACAATGAAATAGAAAGGCTTTTTTTTAAAAAAGAACACATAGCAAAAAGTAGCAAAAATCAAATAAAGTAATTTTTTTTTACTTTTTCAGCGTAATGCATCTTATCCAATTAAAAAGAAAATAAGTGACAAGCCAGCAGATAAAGAAATCTATCAAGCAGGAGAAAACAAACACTTAACCTTTTTACACACCCCTGCCTAAACATATTTAAATTATCATGTAACAATGTGCCCCAGACAACCAAATTTGCTTTTTACTAGTTATGCAATTCCAGCAGTACTAATTTTCCTTTTTAAGGCACGTACGTCAACCAAGTTGAAAAAATGTGGTATCAATTTGAAATCCTTTAAACAAAACAATGGTTTATCTAAACAACAGTTGAACAGTTGAAAAGCAGTTAACATCACTGCCTTTTTTAATTATTTTTTTTAAAACAATCAAGGAATGGTAACAGCATGAAAAAAAAATAAAAAACAGAAGACAAACTCTGGTCCCCACTTTCCTGAACAGTCAAAAGGTGACAACACCAAACAATGCAATACACCTTCATTCTCTATCTGCCTTTTTAAATAGTTGACTTAGAGAAAGAAACTCTCAGATGATGACTTTCTCCCAGATTGTAATTGTGAAGATCAATCAAAGCCTGAATAGCTTCTTCTACTGTTGACATCTGAAGAAGTGCCATCTTGTGATCTCTTCTGAAACAAAACAATGGAATTAGGAACTTGAACACTACAGGGGCTGCTCCTAATTTGCAGGGGTTTGCTATTTGATATATATTTTTCCTTAAGATGTGCTGCAAAAGTCTTTTTAGAGCTATGTGCAGAAAAGGTACTTACTGAAAAAATTTAAATGCTTTCACAGTGCCTCCAGTGTTAGCAAACAATGTGCGTAGATCCTCTTCTGCTACTGATGGTCTACAGACAGGGAGAAAATAAGCATAAGCAGGAAATCATTAGGCAGCTCAGTGTGCTGTGATTCACATAAATATTACCAGATTGCTGACAGTGAGCACTTACGGAATATTGGACAGATGAAGTGTTGCAGAAGGAGGGAATATATTTTGGAAGTTTTTGGAACCAGGTTTCTTGAAGCGGTGCAAAGGTGAATTACCAAAATCTTTAGTCAGCCCTTGGTCATCAAGTCCCTCTCGAGGTAGTTGTACTGTCTGATGTTTAGAAAGGGTAACCCGAATGATCTTTCCGTACATTTTTTGTCCGTTAAGATGGCTCATGGCTGAAAAAGACAAGTTTACTCAATTGAGTGCTACTGTTCAACAGCTTGTTGTACATCACACATGCAAAGAAGAAAAGCACTCAAGCAAATCAAAGGGTCAGTATGCTAAAGGACTAGAATCAAGAACTAGATCTGCAGACTCTCTGTCAATATTTAATTTTACTCAGGGATCATCATATTTGATTCAGCTGTTGAATTCATTTAGGGTATTCATTTAAGTGCAGACCTTCTGGAACACAAGTGCATGCAAAAAGATTTTGGATCTGGTGGATAACCAGGATAAGAGACAGACTGACAAATATAAATACATTTAGTTCACCTGATCTTACACAGCCTAATTTCCAAGTACTTAGACTAATGGGAATATAAACAGAAAACTAATCTTACCCAGCTGTGACTGGTTTCCATCAGCCATCTGTATAAGAGCACTATCTTTCTTATTGTATAAAATCTTCACACGCTGCACATCACCATAAACACCTTTTCAAAGTCAAAAGTAACCCAAAAGGAAAAGTTTATTTTAAAGCCAGCCACCTAAGTAATATATTTTGACATATCAATGGAACATTCAGACAGCAACAAGATCACTCGCTCAAACTCAACACACTCACAAATGAATAAAGGAGATAAAGATTTTGAATAGTGAATTTTGAAAAGAATAATTTCTGATAAACCCTCAAAGCTATGTGAATGATATAAAATTAAAGACCATGCAAAATATATTAGCATGCATTAAAAGAAAATCTGTGTCTATGGAGAGATTTAAACAGCAAAAGAAAAATAGCAAAAGATTCACTATTCAACTTTAAGCCAAAGTGCTAGCTACAAATAAGAATTAAGGTGAAACAAAAAAACCAACCAAACAAAAACCATAAAAACAAAACCAAATCAATAATAAAAGTATAGTGCTAACAATAACATACCGAAGAGGGTAAACAGACTTTGGGGCGTAACCATCTTTAGAAGGAGAGAAGAGCAAGCAGCGTAAGACAAGAAGAGAGAAGAGTCGAGGAAGAGCGGAGATGAACAGATCATCCATAACGAAGGGTGGTTCCCGCAGAATGGTGAGGTGGTCATGGATCATGGTTTCAAGGCGGTTAATTGGGGCAAGTTGGTCCGAGGAACATTTTGTTCAAGCACAGAAGCATGAACATAGGGAATGAAGACAGGGAACGTAGACAAAGACGAGGAGAAGGGTAAGACAGGGAAGGGCATGGGAATTTGGGTAAAGACAAGGAAAGGGAAGTTGAACACACAGGGAAAAGGATGAAATGGGGGAGGGAATACAGCAATGCAGAAGAAAAAAAAAATAAGGAAGTGGGGAACAAAAAAAAAATAAAATATAGGTCAGTACATAGGAAATGTAGGAATTTGGTCAGAAAATGGTTGGTTTATGTACTGTACAAGAAAAACTGAGTAAAATGTAGTCACCCAAGACAAATATGGGTAAAGTACATTCATATCAAGAGTAAACTACAGCATTTCATCTCAACATGAAAATAAATTAAAAAAAGCATGCAATAGAAAATTTGAAATTTAAACTTTAACTGCGTAAGCATGGCTGGTTATGAAATGCAGGCAAAATATCTTTCAAAATGGCACTCTGATCTGAAACATTTTAACATGCAAGACTGTGGATGACAAAATAGTACTAGATGATAAAAAAAGCTTAATGATTTACAGTGACAGAGGCCAGTTAAAAATGGAACAGCTAGACTGATACAAACTTCCCACATTTCATACCAGCTTTCACAGCCATCAAAATAAACGTAAAGGACAGTAAAAATGCAAAACTAAATCCCTTTAGATTTCAGAGTTAGCAAGAAAGATACAGTTAAGGTGAAAATGCTTTGCCACCACTTTTGTTTTTTTTAAGACAAATGAGTAACTGCAAAGAAAAAAAAAATTACTAAGACAGACTGGGAGAGTGCCTCGTCAAGATCTTTGGGAGAACCTTCAAAGAAAAATGCATTAGAGTAGTTCACATAAATTAAGACTCAAAAATGTGAGATACAAGCATGAAATGAAACAGCAAACAATTAGAAACAAAACAGAAATTCTAGTTTACATGATTACAGTTACAAAAGAAAGAATAGCTGGTATTCAAACATAAAGAAGTTACCAAATTTTTCTTAGAAAAAATAGGTAGCTGACTGTCAAAGGATATTTTTAAGTTGTGAGCTACCTAGGAACAAAAATGTATTTAACAATGGCATTAAAATAAACTTTGGGGATTATTAAAAAACCAGCAAAAATACTTTGAGCTTAAAATCCAAATGTAAGAGGCCAAACGCAAAGAAATTATAAAATACTGACAAATGAAGTGTGACTAAAGAGGGGGGGAAGAAAAAGTAAAATTGTTTCACTTACCTCTTCATTTAAATTGCTAACCAGGAGGACTGTATTGCCACCAGCTGAAACTCCAGGCATTCCCACACGGCCAGCAGCAGCAGCAGCAGCTGCAGCAGCAGCATTTGGAATAGCCAAAGGACTCAGAGCTCCTGGAACAGCTGCAACAGGAAGCCCTAATTTTAAAATAAAGCATATTTTACGAAACACACACAAGTCATTTTAAAAAAAAAGTTCCTATATCAGTACTAGAGCTGTATACACCACTCTACACAGCAGACAATACCACTCTAAAGTCATCCAAAGGGTTGTGAAATGGGTTGGTAAATTAACGTAACAGAAACGTAGAAAATTTTTTTTCAGATCAAGTCTGAAAGGTTATGAGGTATAAAAAGTACTTTCTATTCAAATAACAATTATTGTGCAGCAAAACTTTCCACTGCACTCCAAAATGCTTGAAGTGTCTAGTTTATCAAATGGTCTAAAGTAATCAGTAAGAATAAACACTACTACGTGTTTATTCAGTAATCAGTAAGAATAAACACTATTGCAATGCTCTCCGCATCATTACATCCTTATTTCCCATCATCATTTGGGAGATGTTCCTCACTCAACTTGGTGCTTTTGACTAAATCCCCAACAGTGCAGTTGGCCATGTGAAGAGGTTTACACTTCTCTCACAACCCTAGCATGAGGTGGGGAGGCAACTCTCTAAATTCAAGATTCAACATGCTCTGTGGCTTTAGTAATCCAGTTCTCTGAAGAAGCATGTCACTCTCAGCTAAAGCTTCAGTTGTGCCTTTACGTTTTCCTCTTCAAGGAAACTCAGACCCCGCAGAGAAACGCTGGTTTTGTCTGCTCACGTCATTGGGGTATGAGTTGAGTGTGCTACTCGCAGGATTCAGGAAAGGTTCTGGAAGTGATACATTTGCACTATACATGGTTTATATAGGAACAGCTTTATTGTATTTGATCAACACTGCCATTTGCACATGATGTTCAGTAAAAGAGCAATATTGTACCAAAATACTTTTCCAGGACAGTAAGGCATGACAGATCCCCACCTGAAGGAAATACAACTTATTTTATACTAGGTCAATAGCAATCACTTACATTTTAGAAAATTTGCTATTTTAAGTACTTCTTATATAAAATATTTTGTTTGTTGTGGTTCGATATAATACAGCTGTTGTTTATCCAAAGCTTTTTTCTGTGACATCTGTAACTTTTTTTGGGGGGGTTGAAAAAGAGGGAGACTGTATCTGTTGTTTCATATGTGAGGTGAAAAACGGAAGAAAAAAAAAATTGCCTCTGGTCATTCATTTGAAACCACCTCATTTAGTCCACTAGTAATTTTCTCATTCTTTCAAAAAACATTAACACTCACTGAATATTGTCCAGTTTACAGACTCAAAGATTTCTGAAACCTTATTTTATCACAGGTGAGGATGTAGTAGATGAATGAGTGATGATGCACGCAGGCTAGACCATCTATTTGATTGATATGTTTTTAACTGATTACTTAGCATACACAGATCTCATTTTTTGAAAAGGTCAGACAAATTAAAAAGCCACAGCAAATAGCTGTGGAACAGAATTCTTGGTCTGCAGTCTCCACTGTACTTTGATTTGCCATTCTGATTAAAGCAAAGAAAAGTTTTTTAATAAATAAAAATAAGAAGAGTTTCTATTATGAAAAAGTTACCACGTAACACTGTTTAGGACTTGTATGAAACTATTTAGAAATGTTAGCTATGCTGTCAACATGATCAACTAGTATTAGAAATCTTTGTCACTAGCTTTATTTCAGCTTCCAGCAACTACAGATAACAGGCTTTTGTTTTTTTCAAAATATTAATGGAAACATACAAATATTATATACCTTCTTTCCAGCCTTTTGAGGCCTTTTCCTCAATGAAGTTAAAATACAACATATTGCATTATTTATTTCCTCTCAGCTTATCCTTTTGTGTGACTTCCAAAATGCAAATTGTTAATGCCATTTCCATAGTAGGCAAATTGACGCTATACTAAGAATATATTATCAACTTCCATGAAAACCACAGGCACTAGTGATTACTAGTAGTAATCTTAATGTAGGTAGAGTAAAATTGACCAAGGACTGGGTTTATAGACCTGTTAGGAACCCTTTTCTATGTCAAGTAATCACCATCTACTTGTACTGCCTAGTCCCTGTCCTGCTTCCTACAGCTTTGGGGGAGACAGCAGCTTAACATCTCTGCTTAACAGCTTACAAAGATGCAAGAGTTACATCATCAAGTTACATTTACTGAAGTGGAGCGTTAACTTCACCCAGAAGGAAACCGAGATATGTTTGGTTTAGAATTAGTGCAGATTTAAGCACCAAGACTAACAAGATTTACATCCTGTCACTAAAAATCAAGCAACAAAACTGTGTTGAACCTAAATCTCACTTTTGACATATGGATTACAGTATACTCCTAGAAAGCCAACAACAAAAATTGCACCCAAGTTTTGTACAAGTTTGCAGCATATAAAAGTGTAACATAAGCAAAAGGAAGAATGGAGTCCTTAATGCATTTTCTGTCAGCAATCTCATGATATACATATAAAAGATCAGCTACAGCAAGAATTTCTACAGCAATGCCACACATCCATCTCATGGTATTCTTTCTGAGCATGCAAAAGAACTTGAAGAACACACTAAAGTCAAACCGGAACTCCACTCTTTCACGGGGAAATATGCTCTCTGAGAATCACATGTGAATAAGGCAAAGCAGAAACTCAGCATATGCTGAAGACATCTTTATCAACATTAGAGAAAGAAATTGTGTATCAAACAGAAGGAAATAAACATTAAGATTAAAAAAATTAGGAGGAAGGTTGCCAAACTTAACACATCAGAGTTTGCCAACCTCCATGACTCTCTGAACTTCTAAGTTTTGGCACCCTTCTCCTTTTGAGCATCTTAATAAATGCAACTATAAATTGTATGCACAAGTATCCATTCTGGTTTTCGGTATTTTTCTATCCTTTGTCCTCTTATTTATTACATCATTTATATTTTGTGCCTTTTTATACAGTAAGCAGCCCAGAACAAGAATCCTGTTATTCCATATTCAAACAAGCACCATTCCCGTTATGACAATTATCCTAATGACTAAGGCATCAATAGTACTATGGAGTCTTTTCGTAATATTTTTCAGCTGGAGAACTCAAGTTCTGTAAAAACAGCAGTCAAGTAGAAAAAAATGAACAATAACAACAACAAAAAATTCCTGTACTAACCATCCCCATTTGACAGAGGATGAAGAGTTAACAACATACCAAGCTTACCCAACTGGCCAGGAGCAGACTAAGAAAATGTATCCAGCTCCCTTAAGTCTCTTTTGAAACAATGAATGTTTTTAAATAAGAAAAAGCCAACATGATATAAAATTTCCACTGTTCATCAAAAAAAAACATGACTGACTTCACCGATGCTGAAAACGTTTCACTGCTGCAAGGAAAGTCACGCAGGTTATGTATCTCGTATTTTTCTACCGCTTTAGAAAAACAATGCATGTCTGGAGGTCCACCCAAGGAGAACAAATTAAAATATTTAATTAGTTATTGTGATTGTCGTCTTCATAATATTTGTAGAAATTTTTTAAATGTATACAGAAGAATGAGTGATGAAAATCAAAATGTTAGAAAACTCTGTAATTTTGCAGGCAAAAATCAAACGTATCTAAGTGACTTTCAGGTCTATAGTAGTAGACCATAAAGTCCACTAAAGTCACTTGGATAACTGCAGAAAGTACAATAACCCCAATTAAATATATCCGTAGTAATGCAACGATGCAATCACAGAGTGTGATTTCACCATGCCAAGCAAATTAAACCTGTTAATTTGATGCATGCTCTAAGTACTATATACAAGGAAATACATTAGTAAGCCTGAGACTAAAAATCAACTTCTCAGGATTCAGGAAAATGTCATGTAGAGTTACATAAGAAAATGTATTTGGCACTGTTTTATAGCTCATGAATCTTTACTCTCTCCTCTCCTAAATATTGTGGGTCTCATTAATAAGCAGATTTATTTTGCTTTTGTCTACTTACTATTCACACTGAAGCCTCACGTCTATGTTCTAGTCATTATAGGCTAACAAAACAATTACTAATTGCTTCAAGGGTGTTCCTACAGCACTCATCTCTATGGTGTCAAACTTCTACATGAACATTCATCCATCTTCCCAATCAAAGCATAAAATGAGAGATTTCAATTTTTAAATTATGGGAAGTTTTTTTTTTTGAGACTTTAGATTCTTACAGTATTTATTTTACTTTCCAAAACTTTTGCTGTAGCTGCAAATGATACTGAAAATGTGAAGTCAAGCGCTCTGGAATTTGGTGGAATTGACTTTGTGTGTACTTTACAAAAGTAGATATGAAATGTATCCTTCAAGTAACCTGATTTCAGAAAACTGGCAAATACAGTGCAACATTCAGTAGCCCTATTACCTCTTCCTGGGTTCACATCATTCACTAAGTGCCTTCTATCTTTTGTAACAGACAGCAGAGGCCCCTCTTTCCTAGAGTAACTCAAACTTACTTCAGTTTGGCCCAGACTGTACAAAACCCATGAAATCTATGTTGTTCTTAAGTTTTCTTCAGAACAAAAATGGGAAAGTATCCAAGAAGGGAAAAAGAAAAAGGCTAAGTGGGAAGAACAATGATCACAACATAATAAATCAGCTTGTATAAAAGTAATGATTCTATATCTGAGTGCTATTACATTTTAAAGAGTGAAAGGTGTTCTCCCCAAAAACCCATTTGACAGGAGTAGGAGCATGCACTGATTATTTTGGTAACAGTCAGATTTTAGAACATTTTACCAACTTCTGATGAACTCAAAGGCTAACAGGATATATAGAACTGCTATAATGTATCACTAGAAGTGCAACTATAGATTTTTTTCTTTTATTCACAGAAACTACAGGTAGCACAATAGGGTTTGGATATTTTAAGCAAAAACCATAATCTGTTCCCCTTGAAGGAAACCAGCAAAATGTTAGTTTCATAATCTGATATTACAAATAACCATTAGCATGAAGAAATCATGCAAATCATGTTAAGTCTCTCTTACAAACTAGCTGGGAAGGTGGGCAAGGTGGCCACAGACAGCAACGTACAAAACATGGAAGGACAGATTTTGGGATACAAGCTGAACTAACTTGACTTTTTCTAGCACTTTGTGCATTTGTCATTTTGTCATGCAAGCTTTCATTCATTTTTTGCAATACTTCTAAAGACTATATAATTATGTTACTACAGTTCAGACCACGATATAGACTGAATGGTGAATGGGCCTTTGGACACTATTGTAATTTAAGTTGTTAGAAGGATTAATTAATATTGTCATGAAGTGGCTCTGCAATACAGAAAAAGAATGTCAACATCATACCTAGAAGAGAGGTCTCCTTGGCAAATGCTGCAGCAATAGCTGGGTCCAGCGTTGGCTGTCCATCGCCAGATGGAAGGTCAGGACGAGTGTAGTCCCTGCTTTTATCGTTGTTGTACTTGACATTCAAATTCACCAATTTGGAAAAATCAATTCGTAGGGTACAGCAAGCATTATAAATATTTTGACCGTCTAAGGCCTGAAAAAAAGACCACAGTTTATTTAAAGACACACAATACCAGCTGGTTGCACAAGGTTGGGGTTTTTGGTTGTTTTATTTTAAACAAGGTCAGTGTATAGATATTTATCTCTCTTACTGTCCAGCTTAAAACCAATTAAAATGCATTAACCTCTCAACATGATGCCAGGAAGCTCAATGTTCCCTTCTTACCTAGAAACTGTTTTTATGCACCAAAGGGGCTAGGGACATTTTAAATTCAAACTTAAATTCTGTCTGTTGAATACAGCTAACTAACCTGCATTCCATAGCACAGCTTAAAATCAGACATAATGCCAAATAGATTTCTCAAAGAAAAAAAAAAAAACCAAAACCAAGAATCTTACATGGAAAACCTAGACTTAACTACCATGTTAGACAGCCATCTGTTAAAGCATAAAATATACATTATTCCTGCATGCTTTCCTTCTCTCCTTAAAGGTAGTTAGTGCCAAAACAGAGAGAAAACCAACTATAACTGCTAACCTGATGTTACTAATACTCTTTTTTAGAAATCCCATTTTCACAATTAATTGGTACTTCTGAAAGAATGTGTATTAACATGACAGCTAGTACTCCATGAAAACACTTTTTAAAAAATCCATCATATGTATACACACACACACACACACATATATATATATATATATATATATATGTTTCCTCCATCTTCCTTATCCACCAGGCAAGTCAATACCTGGATTTGAGTCCATTTACATTTTGGGCATATCTTCCTTTCACTCAAAGCACTACCAGTTAAATATGGGAGACTTAACTTTTGCAATAAAGTCAGTTTAATTCTTAGGGAATGCTGGGAAGTGACAATGCAGCTAATCTAGCATTCAATCAATTCATTATGTTAAATATAAAGCTACCATTTATATATATGTGCACTGAAAAACACAAATAAAGCAAATTATCAAATACACACATCAGATCTTTTATTTCACTGTTTGGACTGAAATGCTAGACTGAAATGTACCACTTCTGGACCTGAGCTAGCTCTTGCAGTTAGCAGGTTACAGCTGCAGTTTACTTGCCAACACATCCAGGTTCTGGTAGGGCTTTCTATTTTGAGCTCAGCACTGTACAAACCTTGTGTGCCTGCTATTTTCATACAGTGATGCATCTGGAAACTGAACATCTTGCAGACATCCCTCTGCTAGGTCTGGGCCAGCAAGGCTATCCCCACAAAGCATTCTCACACCTGAAATCTCCAGGACTCACAAAACCACTTAAAAGAACTACCACCATTAGTCAACGTAAAAGAATGTCTAAGTCAATGTAATTATTTTGCCATAGCTTGGAAGTTCTAAAAACATATAGAACAAAAAACTTAACTGGAAAATCTAAGCATCAACAAACAGCAATTAAAGAGAAACTCTTGTGCTTGAAGTTCAGCTTAAAAATGCTTTATACAATATTTCAAAAGCAAAATTTACTGTCCTTATTCATAGAACACAAGCTAAATTAATTCTGGACTGTTGGGCTGGTGGTGGGCACCACCATTACAGCATACACCATTTGCTAGCTCTTTTATGCATGGTGACAAAGCACAATCCAAGACTCCCATTGGTATTTGGGAAAGAATATCACTTGAACATTTACACCTAAAAAAAGTTTATATTGAGAATACGCCATCACTTTCAGAAGACTTCCTACTCTAAAATCCACTAAGATATGGACTAGAGGAAGGTCCAAATTTTCCAGCCAGAATTTACTTACTGTCAAATACAATATCACTGCCCAGCAAGGGAACACCCAATGCTATGATGAAGAAAACAGGTGTGAACAAGACTGAAAGGCTGTATTCTTTAGCTTTGTCTGAAGCACAGGACCCAACAAGATTCATACTTTACCTCTGTGGAGTCTGTAGAAATACTGACTTGTGGCTTGCAGAAAGCTGCTAAGTTGATGGAAATATTTTAGACTTAAGAAGCAGCAAACCAAGATATATCTGTGTTTGTAGTTTCTAGAGTAGTCAGTGTTTAAAGGGAGCTATATAAGTAACTAAAACTTCTACTGAAACAGCAAAAACTCCTCTTTCTGCCAAAATCAAAGTGACCAAAAATACATATAAAAGATACTGCACAAGAGAAATCCCTTGTAGTTGGGGGATAGATGGGGTGAAAGAACATCCTGAACCAGAAAGGAAGGAGATGCACTCTTAATAAGCACTGTAGTCAAACTCTAGGAGAGGATTCAAGCACCAGAACAAAAAAAAATCCTCACCCCTCCATCACCATCTCTACCAGCATCATACACCTCTAACAATGCAAGAAAGACTCTCACCAACCAGCATTTTTTTCAAGATTATTTGTTCACATCTAAAGTCACAAATGTGAATGTGTGTCCTGAGCGCTTACTTGTATAGCAAAAGAATGTGCAACAAATCCTCAAACACTGTTCCACTCAGACATTCTGAAAAACATGACACCAGCCATTCACTGCTAGTGAATGTACATACCAACACCATCTCCAAGAACTCTAGTCACTGCTAAGAAACCTTCTTTCGAGTATTTATTTCACATGTGATACCATACCACACCACACACAGGCCAAACCAAGGAGATCAAGAATCATGAGACCTTCTACAAATGTGAGTACCATTCTTCATCCTGCTGTATCAGCAAACCCAAAAAAGTAAACCCAAGATTTTTACAAGAGCGTAAGAGCTAAAGGCATAAGGAAAACCCCAAACCCAAGGAAGGAACACTTACAAAACATATGCCAGCTCAAATAAGTACCTCAAAGTAACTGAAGGTGATATGCTAAATAGCTCTTGGGAGAGGTATGTCCCAAGCGCATCCCACAGATCAGTGCATCTGAATGAAAGTAATTTCTTTTGAGACAAGTATCTTAGATACAAGAAGTTTCTGTGGCTAAGAAGTGTATGTAAATACATTATGTTCTCAAAAATTAACATATTTTATGTGCAAAGGACCTGTTGCTGTACTTCCTGGGCTTTCTGATACAATGTAATCCAGACTCTAATGTTTACCTGAACACTACTTATAATTTCTGAGCAAAAACTGTGCTCCTCAGAACAAAAGATATCCAAAAAAGGCTAATATAATAATAGTGGATAATAGCCCTGCAGCTCAGTATCCCCCCATCTGAGGATGTTCTTTTTTCCATTCTGCAACAACTACCTGAAGTTCCTGCTACATATTTTAGGGCAATGCAGATTGGCAGAGATCTTTTGCAGATTGCTATCAGCACAGAGCTACCTTGAAGTTGTGAGGCAAAACAACTGGAAAGATGACATATGCAGTCAAACTTCACTGGAATCTTTGAATCACGTGCAGGCCAAGGAAGGATCAACTGGCCAACTGAAACAGAAGCTCTAGCGATATTTTTAACCCGTGCTGGGTCAAGATGACCAGCATGCACTACATATGAGCCTCAGTTGTCTACAGATGAGTCATAAATAACTGTTAATATCCATGACTTGACAAGAATACTTTCAGTAAACCTGCACGAAGGAAGGCAATTCTCTGAATTAGCCAGCTTCTCAGACAGGAACACCAGCACCCATCTCATGGTATACCAATGGTCCTTAAACATTTAAGCCTGCTGCTTATGCCAAGAGTATTCATCATTTACTATGAAAATGGGCTATTTTTAATGCTTAGATATTTCCATATGCATACAGACATCTCCAGACAAAACCTTCATTAGCAGAAGCATGAGAGTTTACTGTCCTCTACTCTTGCCCATTCTCAGTTATATTCTCCACCCTGGCTAGACTGCTGCATTATACAGAACCTGAAGCTCCCAGTCTTCACTTAAGGAACCCATAATGATCCAACCTGAGAGTGGTGATAAAACAAGTATCGGTGGAGCCACTATCTACTTTTACAGGAAATGAGTTTCTTACAAAACAAGCAGAGCAGGAATGAGGTTTTTCACTAGCTGCTCGTTCAAATTGCAAAAGAGATCCCACAGGGCTAGAGACTTCATATTGCACATTCTTGTCAGTGTCACTGTTTTCTCAGAACCTTCAAATGCATAGCATCTCTCCTTGGTACTTACATCACTTGAGTTTTTCAAATTGCTCTTTAACTTCCTTATTAAGTCTTCAATTTCTATTAAGGCCATATTCTGATTTCCTGTGAAGAGGGCCACCGGAAAATTAAATTTCCCCATTATCTTCTACAGCAACTTGGATGGAAAACAAATTGAAAACTTTACTCTTTTACCATGTGTTTGATCTTGAACTCCATGCAACTTAATTGCAGCCACCATATCATCTTGCTTCTACATCCAGATGTATTTAAGCTGAAGGGGTTTTTTCCTATCACCTGACTGCTTCTTTCCTTTAGGTATTTTTGTTCTGGTGGCTCTTTATGTTTTATCACAGTGCCTTAACCGTAAGAACTGTGTTTTACTCTATTGAGTTTGTGAGGGTAGTAGCAAAATCAAACCTTCCTTCCAATTTAGCATCCTTTAATAATTGCACTTGGTACTACTCTTAACATTTTGTATATTTTTGCATAGATTGGTTAAAATATGAAACTGTAAACCTAAGACCATTTCAATTTGACAATAAGGCCCCAACATTATTCTGTCAATGACAGTACATACAAGAGTCACTTATTTACTGAAGTTTAGTTGTTCACACACATGCTACTACAAGTGAACAGCAACATGCAAAACTGGAGAAACAAATACATGTTGGGCTTTTTTTAAGACCAATAGAGTCCCACAAGGTAATAACAGTTTGTCTGAAGCGAATAACAGCAATATTCCTTTCATTTGTAACTTCTTTGTAATATGGTCCTAAAATTACACTGATCATTTTCATATCACTACAGTCCATTTTGCAGATGTCATTTTGCCATTAAATTTCCTGATAATACACATGATTCAAAAAACAAAGTCAAAAGTTTTAACACTTGATGTCATACTTTGCATCAGAAAAGCCCTTTAACAGCAGCAGTAACATCTACTACTGAAAAATGTCTTTCCAAACACAAGTCAAGCCTGAATGATGCCCTTCTGTAACAAATGCATGTAGCATCCAACTGTTTATCAAATATTTCAAATATAAATCTAAATGTCTACAGATTTCAGCAGAACTTGTAGGCCACAATGTACCACTATTTTAAACCTGCAAGGTCCATCCTATCCGTACAAATTCTTATGTAGTACAGTGATAATTTGCATCTCTCTCTACTCTGAGGCATAATCTAGTATTTGATATTGTTTCAACTCTGAAAAGGATATCCCTAATTTAAATTGTGTTCCAGATCTACAAGTATTTCCAGACTGCTTTTCTGGAGTTGATTATCTTAAAGTGGACCACCATAAACCAAGCTGCAAATAGTCTCTTCTCTTCTCTCTTGCTTTCCTCAATAGCATGAAAATTTACACTCTGCTTTTTGAAAACATGTTCAATTCTTTGTGATTCCTTGTCTTGACCATCTCACAGTTCTTTACTCAATGCCCAGTATTTCATTTGGTGATAGGGACAAAAATGACCACCCTCCACCACTTAATGAAGTCTTCATTTCAATACAGTCCTCATTATTTACAACAGAAAATTAAGCCCTTTTTGTCTTTTTTCTACCAAGAGGAAAATTTGCCAGCTTAGCCTGAGGTGTGAGCTTTTCAATTTTCTGAAGTTCTCAGCTAGTCTGTCATCTACAGGCAATAAGCACTTTCTATGCTGCCAAGCAACACTTAACCAGCACATCAATTTTAATCAGCCTTCCTCAAACTCAGACTGCATGTGAAGGTTTGAAAATACAAATTAATTCCATTTATCTCTTGAAAATTATAATAATAATAATAAAAAAATCTCACCTTCCCCTTTGGTTCACCTTTTCTACTGCCACAAATGTGAACACATGCCATTCAATTAATTCAAACCATCTGGTCTAGATGACATGCTGTTGATCTTTGCCATAATTTATCCATAGGCTCTCTCCTGCTATAATGAATAAAACCAGCTACCTGTTCTTGCCTCTCCTACCCAGGATAGGAGAGTTTCCTATAAAACAAAAGCAAGATCCTGCTCACCCATCACTGCTGCAAAGCTTTGTCGCAGTCTGGTCACATGAGTAAAATGCTCTCTTTCTTATGGGCATTTATGGTTACAAATAAGTATAGATTTTTTTTTTTAGGATACTGTAACTAAATACTTTCACAAATCTGTAACTAATCCACAAATCACATCTCTATATGGATGCTTAAAAGTACCTGCCAACAACAATCCAATAGGGTTACTAAATTTGCTTCTTACAGTGAATTAATTATGCATCACCATGACATCCTACATTCTTATTTCCGGTTGACATTTTTACTATTGCAGTCTTGCATATTATTTCATCTCTGTGCAGTCTTACTAAAATATTTGTTCATACAATTGTCTAAAATATTTTACACACTGTATCCATAAGCACACTATCATTAAACACTGATTTCACATAGTATAAAAACTAACTTCCACTTATTTTCTTTAATCTCAAAAAATTCACACACATGGTGGAGGAGTACGACACACGGCTATGGCAGTACTCTGTATGATCAACATTTTACAAATACTGAGAGTACAGGAAGATCTCTAGCCTTAGAAGAGAACTATACTTACTTGTTTTGCTTGCTGTGCGTTTACTGGATCACCAAACTGAAGCAAAGCTTGAAACTGGTTATTCTTTGTGAATGTGATTATCTTCAATACAGCACCAAATTTAGAGAATATCTGCCAAAAAACATTGTACAGTTTTACACATCTGTTTCTCCCAATCATAGCTCAAGCTAAAATGAAATTTGACTCACCTGATGAAGAACATCCAGGGTTACTGGATAGTACATGTTGTCAATAATTATTCTAAGTACTGGACTCTGAGCTGGAGTCACTGCACTCTCACTAACAGTGGTCCCACTAATGGGAGCATTTGATGCCTGCACAGCCGTCACTGCCTGAAGAACAGCTTGGGCCCGCTTAAAGAAAACATGACAGAAGAGAGATTTTCTTAATATTTCAAGATAGCAGCTTGAAATTAATTAGAAATATTAATATAGTTAACTCCAGAAACACAAAATAGTCCACTTATTTAAAACCTGGAGCTACAGACATAACACAAAGTTAAATGCAATGCAGTCTGACTCTGCGAGAAGAGCCAAGAAAAATGAAAACAGCAATTAATCCTTATGTCACATTAAGGAGGGGCTTCAAAAGGCAACAATATCAATCTTTCTAATAGAAAGCTTATTGTTCTACTAACAAGGATCAAGAAAGTGAGGATTTTGTAGATTTCAAGATTCTTTCCTTTACAGGAAATAAAACTAAACTAACCCACAAACGAATCAAGGAAAAACCCCAACCCTACAGAAAGCAGAGGAACTTATCTTACATTCAAAAGGTTGCATCTCAGCTAACATTTCACTGCCATTTTAATTATGTAGAAGGTTCTAATAGGAAGGGAAAACTCTAAACTAACACATCCAAGCTTCTCAGTTTTAACACAAGGAAATAATACAAAAGACTAACAAATGTCAGAAAGTAAACCTCCAGAGAGGTAAACAAACTGGTGTCTGTTATCCACTCTCTTTCGTAAAAATAAAAACAAAATCCTCTCCATATGTGGGGCTTTTTTTTGTTTTTAAACACAAGTAGGACTTTAGAAATTCAAAGGTAACCATGATACCACAAAAACACACATCTGTATCAGTATCAGCTGACAGTATCAGCAAGATTAGATGTCTTTTTCTGAGAAAGAAAAAGTGCAGAAAAAAGAGGTTCCATTTAATACTTTCATTACAGTTGCCTTATGAAGCAAAACAATACAAAACAAGAGAGACAAGTGAGCATGCCAGATAAAATAATAACCATCATATTAATGCATACTGCATATTTTAAAGGTATTAGAGATACCACACAACTTCATGTCTCACAACTTACATGATACTCCTCATACTGAATCAAATCAATGAATAAGGAAAGTGGTGGGGGGGAAGACCTGGTGAATATCAGTTGGGAAAACAAAATTTACCTCTACATTTAACATTAATTATTGTAACTGTGTAAAAATGTCTTTTCCCAAATGCATGAAACACACAACTTTCAAGACGGCCAGATATTTGGCTGAGTTGCAGGTGTCAGAACAAGGAAGTTAATTCTACCATCCTACAGTCTATAAACTGAAAAACTTTGAAGTTATTTAGAACTTTTGAATAACTATTAAAAACACACTTCAGAATCTTTGCCTTTTGACATTAAGGACACATTAAGAAAATTTATTGTAATGGAATACAATAATCAAATTATTGAAAATTTCAGAAATCTTCAATAATTTGAAAAATTATTGAAAGCAAATGCCTTTCAGTGCCACAAAATGGAATGATCATAGGTAAAGACATGAGGAGTGTTAGAATGTGGACAAAACCAAATGATTCAAACATATGGCACGTGAGCCAAGAACACGTGCCAAGCCCCATCTTCTACTGTCTGCATTTGTGATACTACTGAACAGGAAATATACCTGGTTAAGTGTGTTATCAGTCTTTAGTTCTTTATGATTGGAATACTGGATATAAATGGGTTGGTTACGAAGATGAGGTGTCACAGCAGAGTAGTAATTAACCATAGTGATAGCTGCTTCTTCTGTGGCAAGCTCCAAAAATGCCTGTAATTAAAAGAATTAAAATTTTCAGCATTTACAAAGCAGGTAATCTTCATATTAGACGAACACAAAAAACCAAAGGGTTTTCTAACACATTTTAACAGATTGATCAGTCTTCAGAAAATGTCATTCTACACATACCAACTTTATTTGTTAAGCTACTTAATCTCCATAAATTCATCTGTGAAGATGCAAGAATAAATATTTATCTTCCAACTAACTTTTTGCTTTATGTAGCTGCCAACCATCCTGTTTCCCCCAAAAATTTAGTAAAAGATGGCATAAATTCAATAAAAAAAATAAAGGAACAAAAACTCATTTTTCTAGAATACTTACTGCTTTATGACTTACTTCAATAGCATTTTAACAATATATTTTGAAATCAGACAGCAAGCATATTAAAAAACAGAAAGCAACAAATTACCTGGTTTTTCCCTTTCAGCATCAGGATGTTGGTTACTTTACCAAAAGGTAAACCTAAAGCAATAACTTCTGTTTCTGTCACTTCCCCAGGCAATTTCCTGATATGAAGAACACGAGAAGGAGCCCCATCCATTTTATCATCACCTTTGAATTTCTTGTTGTCATTACCATTGGCTGAAAGACATATTCAGACTCTATTTGAAAAGTTTACTGATATTATTAATGCTTTATTAAAAATGCTTTTAATTATAAACATTACATTAATTTTAAGTGAGCCATCTCCCTTGGTTTAGGTCAAATTCAAGGCTTCAGAACAAATTCTGCAGAGACAAATGCTAGTTTCATGGAAGATAGATTGTTCGAGACTTATTCATCTGCTAGAGACCACAGCAAATCCTTTACACCTCACTTTCAGTGAAGCATCTCAAAAAATAACATGGAATAACATATTAATCACGTCTAACAAGAGTTCACATAAGAACTCCAACATATATTGAAGTCAAACCAGTTAGTGGCTACCCAGAGATTTTTTGAAGGAAATAAAATGGTGGTGAACCATTAATAGATCCCAAAGTTTTTTAAGAGCTGCTTGCAGTAAGGAACTGGACACAAAGTAGAAAAGCAACAAAGCAAGAAAGGAAGAGTCATTAATGCTGGGAAAGATCAGAGCGGAGACAGGGGATGACCCAGAGGACTGACATCACAAAAAGCTGATGAAACCAACAATTTAAGGTAGGAAAATGTCAATTCTAAACTATGATCTCACTCATAAAAAAAGAAAAACCAACTAATAAAATGATGCAGTCAACACAGACCGGGATGGAGGAAGATCCAGATACATTTCCCTAAAAGAAGCCAGGAAGCATTAGCATCAATGTACAAAACACCAGAAAGACGATTTAGAATACTCTCCAGTATTGTTGCAAAGAATTACAGCAAAATTCCAACTGCACTTCCTTTTGCTTGATAAGCAGCTAACCAGTTGGATGGAAGAAATCTTGCTTTTGAAAGAAGGCCAGAAAAAAATTATTTACTTTGCTTAAAAATATGTCAATGGAGTAAACATCAGAGTCAAGAGCTAAAGAATAACACTGTCATAATATATAATATTAATGAATTAATCAATGCTAGAAATCAGTATGTACTTAGATGTTAGTGAAACAAGTGATAAGACTTCCCTTTCTTCTACCAAAAAAGATATTTAGATTTATCTAAATATAAAATTCAAAATATCCTATTAGTTAAAAACAGTATGTCTTACAGGCACGTCATGCAGTAACTCCACACCCTGTACCACTACCATCAACCCTCCTCCAAAAAAATTTCCATGACTAGGCTTTTAAAAGGTTCTTGCACCGAAGAACACAAAGTGTTTTCCAACTTACTACAGCAGACAGAACAACAAAAACCTAACAACATTCAAAACTGGTCAAAATGCTAGTATCTCCAACTAGTATCTCCAACTGACGATGCATATCCATGCAATAGGAGGAATTTTATTTTGGTCTGCTGCAGAGAAAGACAAAATTTGGTGGAACACAGAAGAGTAAAATTTGAAAAACACACACAACTAGGATCTGAAGTCTACACAGGACTCTAACGTGTACCATTTTGGCAAACATGGTGAGATTGAGCTTCCAGGTAACAATATTTCACTTGTTCAAGATTATACATAATAACACTATCTCAAAGAGACAGCCAAAGTTTGCGAAAAAGTACTTCTACTTTTCACCTGAAGCTCGTCACATAATAGTCTTCCTTGGTTCTCAATTTAAATCTCTACAAAACTAAAAAAACCCAAACAGAAGAAACAAGGTGAAGCATGATAGGCTGGACAATGCATGACCAACAATATGTTAAAAACAAACTTGCAAAGGATAGAAGAATTGTGGTGATACTGAAGCTACAAGTCCAATGCCCTTCATACTTCAGCTTGCTGAATAACTTCAATTCATTAAAGTTTCAAAAAATATGAAACATTACCAATCAAAAATGAAAATGAGAAAAAGCTTTCAAACTAAAGGATTTTCTCAAATTAAGAAACCTTTTTTACATCACCAGAAAAATATTCACTATAATGGTTCAGATCACTACTGACAGAACTGTTTTGTCTCTTGTGTGCTTTTCAACAGACAATTTTAACATATTAACCTTTCCACTGCATAATGTTTAGGAATTTACTTTTTTGTTACAGTAAAGCTCTTACTTAAATTAGGCTTCAGGTAATCCCATCATTTCTAGTAAAGTTATCACTGGCCAGCATATAATCACTCACATACATATATACTAAATGTTCCTTTAATAATTATTTAACACAATACTTTATTGATTACTGTGTTACCCAACTGATTTTGCATCTCTTAGAATTGCTACCTAATACTGGCATTTTAAATAGTTTTTCAACTTTTGCTGCAGTAAGTTTAAAGAACAAGCTTAAAAGAATCATTTGATGTATTAAATATGTGTATCTTTTCCTAAACAGCAACTAAGAGCTTTAACTTAGTTCACATATACAAGCCTCTCACACAATTTTGTTTTTTACACAGTCTTAAACCTCAGCTACACTATAATTGTAACTTTTTTTATTCACTGTAAAAAAAGCTATGTAGACAAGTGCCTGGGCAAAAACATTTATGTTAAAAAGCAGATAAATATATTACAGTAATACAAAAAAATACAGAATTAGGCACAGAACATATGGCAATCAGAAAACAGGGGGCGGGAGGTACAGGATGGGGATTGGCAACAGGCATTCTCAACGCTTTGGAATTGCCCAAAAAATGTTTTTAGCAGTAGGACAGGTAAACATGACAAAAGCTGTTTGTTACTTATTGGCAAAAGCATCTCTAGTACAATGAAAGCCAAATTGGTACCATTCTTCAAGAAACATGAAGCTCACCTTCTTAAAGTAAAATTTATGCCAAAAGATTTAACAGTGGATTTTGGAAGACAGAAGAAATTAACATGCCAGCCGCTGAATGCAAAGAGAATATGTACTTTTACTACATTTGGTTATCCATTCAGCATCACCTAACAGTAATTTTCTGTTCCAGTAATGAAGTGTGTATCGTACACTAAATATGCATGCACATACACAACTGAACTTTTCAAGACACTCGTGGAACAAATTATATTTAGCTTTTAGGAGAGTTATTGAGAGATTCTGGCACTACATGAAACCTCTCTGACTGTAGTCTCTCAGTTGTCATTATAAATGGTACTTCTCAGCTGAAGATGCATCATTAAATTGCACTTGGGAATAGAAAACCACATTTACAACACGGGAACACAACTTGTTCAGAGCCATTGAAAGGTGAATTTAACTACTGTTAAAACAACAATGTTATCCTCTAACAAATTTTATTAGCAGAATCAGTGTCTATAAAGGTTAAAAGCCAAGTTGAGGGGAGCAAGGTACTAAAGGAATAACATGGTCTTTTGGTAGAAGTAGAGTCCATGCCTAAGCAGCAACAACCTGAAAGATCCTTCCCTACACAGCACTTAAGACAAAATTGCTGAAACCTGGGGGAGAGGCCAAGGGATATTGGAGGAGACCTCACAAGCTGACTAACTACTGCTGAAACTGCTGTTAAACTGGAGACTTACTGGCAAGTAGCTATTTCATGAGGTAGTTTGGCTTTCACTGGACTTGAAAATCCTGTTCCAATTCAAACATTTTGCTGCTAACGCTTTAACAAATACAAATATGCACTGAAAACAGCAGGCTGCAACATTTGCATTGCGAGAAAAAGTTTTAAGAAGCACTGGGAGAATGACTAAAACACAGTGTTAGTTCATTTACAAATCAAGTTATAGCTGCAAATACATAGTTAAAAAAAATATAAACCCAAAAAATTAGAAACCTATCCCTGAATCATGGAAACATTTAGGCTGGAGAAGACCTTTAAGATCGAGCCCAACCATTAACCCTGCACTGCCAAGATCCACTGAGCACAGGAATGGTTCTATTCAATTCAGACTATCGTAAAAACCCATGTTCTGTAACAACCATAGCACTGATCTAAGTCCTCTGCGTCTCTCTACCAAGCACATGAAGAATTCAGTTTCCATGTGACATCAGGCAACTATATCTAAACAAGATATCATCTTTACTAATGATGTTCAAAGCATTATTCTCACATCCAAATAGGATACTGCAGTTTAAATATAATTTATACATAAGCCACATCCCTGTTGCACCGAGTTCCTTCAATTTAGCGTAAATCAACTTGTTGAAATTGAATGCTTACAGGTTGACAAAGCCTGTAAATGGCCATAATCTGTGCAACTCGGGTCCTGGCATTTTCAGAGAGAAACTCCTATTTTATTAAACAAAGAAATAAGAACCTATATAAAAAAAGCAACAAAATGAACTGCAGTATACACAGACATATTTGTAAATCCAAGTCATTCAATCATTCAAGCTATGAATATTCAAGCAACCAAGCAGTTTTTGCAGAAAAACTGTTCTTCAAGTTCAGCATAACTCCTACCAAAGAATGAATAGCTTACTATCTGATAAAAACTGATTTTGAAAACATATTTTAATAAAATTTCATGCTAGAGGAGCTTTTCTCTGCACTTTTTTAAAGGAAATATATAAATACGACCTAAGAGTTCTGAGACCTTTATTTTAGAAGCATAACTTTTCTGTATCATAAACTTCTTTTCATAAGCACACAATCTCCTAAAACCAAAATGTAATTATGTAGGTACAGCCAAAAAAACCTGGATACAATATAAAGCTGCTTTCACCCGTTAGTTCCTGAAAAGAAGGAAAAAAAAATTACCACAAGACACTGGCTATAAATTCCTGCATATCTGCAGTAGTGAAATATAAAAATACACATACTTCCTGAAGAAATCACTCTCTTTCACAACTGCCAGTACATACCAACAATCAATTTAAAAAAAAAAAAAAAAAAAAAAAAAAGTAACTTTCAGTTTGTACATACTAAATACAAGAAGCTTAATAGCTTAATAGTATTCAGTGCTGTTCTGTGTAGAAAGCACTTCTTGTGGCTTGGCTAAATATATTTAACTTAATGTCATCAGCTGTAGAACATCAGACACATATCCAGACAGGAAATAAGTGACTAAGAGAAAGGCAATGCAATCGAAGATATCTAGTTTATTAGACAAATATTAAAATGTTGCACTGGCTACTGAATACA